ACGTGAAGCAGCAGTGTTACAGCATGGCTCAGGAAGGTTCAGATTGCTCCATTTCGCCATGTCACTGGGCAGCGCCGCCTGTCTCCAGCCTCTTAATCCTCCGAAAACATTTTCCTGCAGTTTCAGGCCTATTCTTCATATTTCTGTTTATTGGTACAGGGTTTTTATATGGGAAACTGGGGACTTCACTTCATTAAGTATAACTCTGTAAAGCACTTGAGACTGACAAACAAACAAACAGATAGCCCTTAACATAACAAAGCCTGTGGGCAGATAGGATGATGGTTAGGATAGTGAGCCAGAGCCACACATCTCATCACTGTGTCCTCATTTTCTGTCACGAAACAGTCTCTGAGAGCGGTTAGATGCAGAAGAGATGCTGACTCACTGGAGGAGAACTTAGTGGTCATTGGTCATGGCGTATGTTTTCTAACAGGACCTGGGTAGTTCATGTTCATTTGATCCATTTACCTGGAATATGATACAGTTCACACATATTACGGTTCATTTCTGGGTATCTGGGACATTGCCCTCTCCACATCTTAGGGGCCTGTGGTGGCCTGGGTGTGAGCGAACACTGAGCAGGATTGTTTAAAGCTCCACCCAGCCTGTGTGATCCGGCTTGGTGATGTTTGGCTGGCTCTGTGCATTCAGAAGAGTCTGGTCAGGAGGGAGGAGGGATCTTTGATGGAATCTGGTGTTTGTGTAATGTTGGGGAGCATGGAGTGAAATGGCATAAGTGTGTGTGTTTGAGTGTGTGGTGGTCTTTTTTTGTGTGTGTGTGGGGGGGCTGGATAGTGGGTGATGAGCTGCCTTAAAGGGTCTCTTTGTGCCCACTAAACCCATCACCCTCTCTCTTACACACACACATATTTATGCCAATCATTGCCATATGTGAGTCAACTTTTACCTCAGAGGTTTAAATTATCCAATGTATGAACGCCTCATTCATGACCGTCATGGGGCACTCTGAGAGTGTGTTGATGTGGTTAGTCGGCAGTTTTGAGTGGTCACTGTTGCAGTTTGTCATGTTTTTAGGTCATCAGGATAAAACTCCAACCAGATTTAGATGCATTATGTCACATAATGCATCTAAATCTGGAAATAAAGTTTTCATTTTTGTTAGTGTTATACTCTGTAGGCCACATATGAACAATGAGCACAAACTCACCGCAGATTGACATGGGAGAAGAGCAGTTTTTCATGTGTTTCAGTTTAAAATTTATTAATCTGATCATCCGTGTTTTATTTTGTATCTGACAAAATACAAGTCGATTTAATACATTTCAAAGTGCCTGTTGTTTCCTGTATGGAAGTGAAGTTACATCCTGCCTGAAATCTGAAATAATAATAAATGAGCCCTCTCCTGCTAGCTGTGATGGACCACAGTTTGTGAGCATGATTTGAGATTATTGGGCTAATTGAGCACTTACACACTCCATTAAAATGTATCAGATCTTTTCATCTGCAAGTTCCTTGTCAAATTATATATATTGCTTGTGCACCTTTAGAGAGAAGATGTGCTTGTTTGTCATTATCACATAATTTGAAACCTCAGTACCAAATGGTGCATTCCCTCCAATAGTTAATAATTAATTAGTTTAGAATATTTTTTAATAAAAAAGGTTTTTCTTCTTTTTTTGGTCATACATGAAAATTGTAATAAACTAGTTTCCTGAAGATTTAGAATAACAAAAAGAAAAAGATCAGATTAGATTAGATTATTTTAAAAGAGATAAAACTCACTTTTTGAAAAGATGAATCACTTATCGTTTAACAATTGCGGAGAATTAATTTTTCGGTCGATCTGTGTTAAAAAAAATATGGGACGTCAGACTACAAAATTGTTTTTTTTTTTTTTTTGTATTTAGTGAAGTTAAAACATTCAGCAGAGTTTCAGTGTTTCTGTTTAGCTTTAATTAACTTTGAATCATTATGTTTTAACTATATGTGTATTTTCCGTTCAAAAAGAGAATGAACCATTAATGCTTCACTCATTCTAGTTTTAGAACCAGCCGATGAAGGTAATAAGCCGATTCTCTAAAGAAAATATTACATCCACCATTGAGAAAATGTGTTTCCTGTGCTGGAGTATGTCAAAATCAAAAGGTTCCACGTTTGAAGAAAATTGTTTAGAGTTTCGATGAGAGGTCGGTTGTTTAGTTTCGCATATTCCAGCGCAGAGATAAAGAAGGGTGGCCACTTGTTTGCAGCGCTGCGAGAGGATCCCAAGCCTCAGAGTTCCACCGCTGCCACACAAATTATAGCCAGCCCTCCTGTTTGTTGCTCAGTTTCCAAGGAAAACAAACCTGCCTTTTTCGCCCTCAGACCACAGAGAGAAAGGCTGGAGGCTGGCAGCATCATGATTGGGAGAGAATCTGGTTCTGCTGTCACTGAATAAATTTAGCCCTCAAAGGCGGACGGGCCTTGACACATGCAGCTGAAAAGGGGTGTATCCTCTTAAGGGGGTCTTTTAATGCCCCCCAGAGGCCTATACTTTTATCCCTCTTGCGGAAATGGCTCTGTGTCCCTCAAGTTTCCAGTTAAGGGATCAGAAACTTTTTCAGTGGTTCAAAAAAAGTCCTGAAATCCTATTTTCTTTCACCTTGTTTGCAGGACATTTGTGGTGATGCATGACATGAGACTTTTGCAAGAGTCCCCGAACTTTCTCTCTGGCTCACGGTGGATCGTGTGACCGTGTGTGTGTGTGAGTGTGTGTGTGTGCATGCGGGTGTTATAGAGAAGGGTCTGGGCAGTGTTCCCGTGTCCATGCACAGCCCCCAGAGTAAAGTAAACACAGCGGCTCTTTTCTCATCCCAGCCGTCAGCAGGCTCTCCCCAGGCCCGCGCCAGAGACCACACACCCAGACCACACACACACACACACACACACACACACACACACGCTCTCATGCGCTCATACACACACATGCACTGCCTAGACTCCTTTGGAGATCCTTCCACATACTCGCATACACACAGACCACACAACACCAGCTCGGGCCCCTCGCACGCAACCTCTCTGAGCTGTCATTCTGCCCGGCTTATGTGTGTGTAACTATGTGTGTGTGTTTGTTCATCTGTATTTCCAGGATTTCGGAGGGGGGGTGGGGGGGTATAGGACAGAAACACTCCTTCAGAAACAGAATTTTGGAAAATAAAGAGCCCTGTCCACTGCCCATTGCCGCTCCCACTCTAAACATGTGGGATTGATGAAGGATATACCAGGCTCTTGTTGTAGCCCTGTTAACTTCTTATCTTCATCATGTCAGATCCATAGTCCCTCCATTTCCTCTGACAAGCAAAGGGCAGCAGAAACAACATGAGGTAAATCCCACTGGAGGGTTCTCGTTAACTTGGGGATATCGGGGCGACCGGGTGGGGACGGAGCAGCCCCAGAACATTTCCCACTAAAGTTCAATTTACTGGAGGTCTTTGGGTCAAACAGCTCTTCTGTAAGGAGTAATTACAAATACATAGAGCACATTACTATAGTTCTCCTATTACTTGCAAGTCATTGTTTGAGTGTAAATCTTCTCCTTTGCTGTAGCATTTTATTTTTAAAAGTTTCATAAAGATTTACTTTGGAATCTTTATTAATACACAATATGTATATTCACATATGTGTGTTTATTGTTATAATTTAATAAATAGATAATGTATCTGTATGTAAGCACAGGGTGTCACAGGGATATTCAATTATATTGAATCCATGACAAGTACTAATTGTTATTCTAATTTGTTCGATTTTTTTTTCCTGTTTAAATTATTACCGTAAATTAATTTAATTATTTGTTGTGCAATATAAATGTCCAAAGTAGCTTTGTTAAAGCTTTTTTTCTCTTTTGTGCATTTTTTATTCATACATGTTTGTTTGTAAGTAGAGTTGCCTCATTTGTTTGTACTAATGTGAATGGCAGTTAGCAGGGGGGTGGGTCATGTTAAAAGTTAGAAAACTGTTGATCAAATAGTTTGTTGACCTCTGAGCAGAGGCTTTTTTCTGCCATGTTCTGCTTTATAACAACGTAACCTGAGTGTATTTGAACTTATTTCCCTTCGCTATGAGCAGTGGGGACAGTGTGAGTATTCGAATTCAGGTTGAGGTTCAGGACGCAGCGGGCCTGCAGGGTTTTAAACAGTCGGCCTGATCAAACATGTGCTCTGCCAGTTTTTATTTCCTCTTACGTCTTGGCGTGTCTCTTTGAGACGGCTCTCAGTTGTACACTTACTTACCTAATTGATGAGCCTGTAACCGTGTAAAGGGCTTCAGGCCGCAGGTCCGATCCGTGTGAACTCCCACATTGTTTGTGGGGAACGTGTTTTGGCTGCAAAGCAAAAGGGCGGAAGCCTCGCTCAAGCTGCTTCACAGAGTCCAGATTGGTCAGGCTTTTTGAGACCTGGCAGTAATTTATTAGCAAACATCTGTGCTGCTGAAATTCATCCTTTCTTCATTTTTGTTTTTTTCATTTGGAACCTCTACCTTTCCTCAGCCCGACTGAACCGATCTGCATTGGTGCTCCTTCTTTGGTGTCATAATCTGTACACTATTGTGTGGGCTTATGAGGAATGATTGGAAGAGCAGGTTTATTTATTCTGTGCTGTGAGGTTTACATTCTTCCTTTCCTCCCTGCTTTCTGTCTACTCCTTCATTCTTGGCTCCATTCTCTATTTTTCCTATTATCTGAGAGATAACTGCTGCATTGCATACATTGTTATTAGACCTACAGGGATGGAATTTAACTGCCAGCCAATGCTGATCATATTTAAAGTTTCCCAGTGCTAAAACTTTATTATCCATCTGCTTGGTAATTCAGTAAGATTGCTCCATGAATTATTATTTGAATTGTTTGAATTTTTGGTGCTTGCAACCAATTGTTCCTTCTCGTTAGTAAAAAGTAACATGTTCTAATTTTAGATTTACAAAAACAGATACATTTTTCCCTAAAGCATTTGAAATAATTCTAGAAATTGCCATATTTAAACAGCTGGAGATAAGTAAACTAATATAAAGGGAGTTGTCTCACACTTTTTATTATAAAGGAACATTTACCTTTGAGGCCAAACTGACATTAAATGCAAATAAGTGATTACAATTATGTTGATGCTTTGGTAGTGTTTAATCAATTTAAACTATATTTTATTTGAGCATGTGTTTTTGTTGTCATTTCCAGGTGCTGAGTTCTTAATTTCTTCCGGCCGCCATGTCCCGTGCACGTCAACCACCGTTGGTCACAGGCATCTCGCCCAAGGAGGGCGCAGCCTGGACCAAAGTCACCATCCGTGGAGAAAACCTTGGCACAGGCCCAGCAGACCTCATTGGTAATGCCACTAATAACCACTAAACTAACCACACAAGTGTCTATGTCCTTTTAAAAATGTGTCCTGCTTTTTAAAAAAATAATTTCTGCTACATAATGACATCCAAACTTCTCATAGTGTTTCCCCATTTTGTCCGTGTTCTTTTTAACTGAAAAGTATACATATGGTACTCCTCAAAGTAAGAGGTCCTTATAAATTAACAAAATAAATGCTTTAAGATCAGAATGCAAAATATGTGTAGAGATATTGTATCTCTGTTTGTTTTACTGTTAACGATATTATATTATTAGTTTCCCTTTGTGCTCTTTACAGATTTGAAGTATTAACTGTGTCTTACTCAGTAAGAAAAAGGTCAGCCGTATTCACTCCTTTTCTTAGTGTTCCCCTCTGATTAAACACAGTTTACTAAATGAGCTGGGAAGTTCAATTTAACTACACCCCATGCCTTTGGCTTGACATTTAATTTTGGATATTTATAACGCCCAAACATGTGGTAAAATATGTGCTTGTTGCATATTATATGCACAAAAAGTAGATGTGTAGCATTTAAAGTTGAAATAATGCTGTTTTTCTGAAAGAAAACTGGAACAGTGAAATGTGTTGTTAATGTTTCTCGCTCCCACTTTTTTCTACAATGACAGATAACTCATGGCTGGATCACTAACATTTTGTTGTTTAAATCTGTCTTTTCACTGACTTCTGAATACATTTGGTTCCAGTTTTTCCCTCCTAGTGTGATTTTCTTGCATGGAAGCAGACACCTCTTCAGAATAATTTTTTAGACTTATCTGCTGTTGCACTTTTATGAGCTGTCCTTTAAGCACTTTCATGTTCTGCTTATGAGCACACTTAATGTTGTTAACACTTTCTAAATACAAAATATCTTCCCAAAGTAACCTTTTTTTTTTAAGAGACGCTTTTATTTCTAGTGAGGCTGTAACTGAACCACATTTTGTTAAAGCTACTCCCAAACAATGCAATTCTGTTGTTCTGAGAAAGGGGAAAATAAAATGGAGAAATGATTCACTATTAAAGTGATTTGCCAGAATAAGCTCTATTTAACATTTAGTGTAGAGCCTTTTATCTCTGTTTATTTTGTTTTATGTCCAGCCAAGTCTTTTTGAGCCCATAAACATTCTTGTGTTTGTGCTGTTTTATTCTGACATGTGCATGCACTAAAACAAGTACGCCTTGTCATGTGACCACTGGAGCAATCCATAAACAGAAGACACTTATTGGTCTTAATATTTCTGTCTAATTTTAGACAACTCGGGGAGGATTATCACATGCGGGGGTATAAAAATAGACCTGTTGTTTACGGCTCTTAAAAAAATATATTTGAGAGCCTCACAGATGGAGAATCAACATCTTGTTCTTGTTACACATTTGAGCATCACATATCTGCTGATATTTTCCCTTAAAATTGCCAGTTCCTCCTGTACAGAGAGGCAGCAAACGGCAAAGAGGACTCACAGATTTGGCTAGCAGTGCACTGACCAGCGATACAGCTTTATCTGGGAGCATGGATGTCCCCGGGGCCTGGATTTAGACAATTAGATATGCGCAAATGTGTGTGAGTGCTGAGGTATTCAAACAAAGTTGCCAGCGGAGAACAGAGGCAGGAAATGGGGCTCTAATGGGCATCTTATTTACGGTTTTATGGGCTATTTGTTGATCAGCTCTTGTGGTCTTTTATATTGTTTGATGACACACACGCGGACAGTTCTAAATCTCCACGGCTGGAAATGTCAGAGTAATCCCCGACTTTCTCATCTTGTGCCCAACTCGTACAGAGGAGGGTCTAAAAAGTGGCTAACAGATGTAAGGGCAGAGAGCACATTGTGCCCGTAACGAGCCACTTAGCGAGAAGAGACGCACATTAACTTTGAGGAGTTGAGTGAAGAGGAGGAGGAAGGTCAAGGCCACCCACGCCCATCCTGACCCCTGCTTGAACTTTGACCTCTGGTGACAGTTGCACTAAACTTGTTGATAGATGTCAGTGCTGCCTAAGTGAGCTCCTCTTCTGCCGGGCCCCGTGTGTGTTTGTGAACGTGCGTGTCAGGGCTAAAGTTTGTTTATTTGTTCTATCGGTGTATGTCTGTATCTCTCACCTTTTTTTCACCTTTTCCTCTGCCTTCCGTCTCAGGTCTGTCGATCTGTGGCCATAACTGCATGCTGACAGCCGAGTGGATGTCGGCCAGCAAAATAGTGTGCCGCGTGGGTCCTGCCAAAGATGACAAGGGAGAGATCATTGTCACCACCAAGTCCGGGGGTCTCGGCACCTCAACGGTCTCATTCAAACTGCTGAAGCCGGAGAGGATTGGTGAGACCCGGGGGACAGAAAGTCAACGTGATGACATTTTTTATGCGTTAGCCTAGACCAGGAGAGATGATGGATGCTACAGCAAAGAGGGAGGGATGTTATTTATATCACTGAAGAAATGTTTTATTCACTTACTGTATCTTTCAGGCCATTTGGGAAAAGGGGGATCAAAACAAACAAAAAACAAAGGGGAAAAAAACAGCAAAAATTGTAAACTCATGACCAGAAGTAAGAATAAAACTGCCAAAAAAACAGAGAAAAGATTCAGTATTTGCAATTCTAGACAAAACCAGAAGAAAACACCCAGTTAATGGGGTTTATTTTAGCTCATTTGTTTATGTTGTGATATTTCCTCATTTCAGTTATTTGCAATAAACTTTATTTATTTCAACTTCATTTTTAATTTGTAGCACTTTAAGATTGTTCATTCCATATAAAGTGAATCACGTCCTACAGGTATCCTGGACCAGTCTGCGGTGTGGGTGGATGAGATGAACTACTACGACATGAGGACGGACCGCAACAAAGGAATCTCCCCCCTTTCCCTGCGTCCCAGTAATCCACTGGGAATCGACATAGACAAGTATGAATCGAGAACATGCAACTGCTCACACACATGCGCACAGCCCAATCACACTGCCATAAACACAAGTCCTCTAGTCACTGAGTCATGGTTCACATCCCTAAACAGAAACAAACTCTTCCCATATGGCGGCATTGGAAATATTATGCCGAAATAGCAGTGGCTGAACGGCCTCCTGCAGCCTGCTGCACACAGCGAGTGGAAACAACATGTATGAATGTAAAGCAGAGAGAAGGAGAACATGAGGACATTTGGGAAGCGCTGTGGGATCAGGGAGAGCAGGGATGCCTCCCGGGTGCCAGTTAGGGAGAGCAGAGGTTGTAATGTATAGCTTGTGTTGTCAAGTTCTGCCATTTCTGTTTTAAGTATTTGTTTGGTTTGGAGGGCCAGGGGCAAGTGACCGCTCGTGTCCAGAGACAAGACCCCCATAAACCGGCTGTGGCCATCACCCGCTCCCATACATTAAACATCCAGCATGGAAAGTCTTTGATATGAATGTGAGAGCACACCGTTTGTTGGAGCTGAGCTGCGATCCAGCTGGTGAAACGCTTTGTTGGTTATGAAATATCACTGTGTTGTCCGTTCTGAGCCATCGTGTGCATTTTTTGTGGAGTTATGTCACTGAAATGTTACTCAGCTGAAGGTGTTTGCTGCTTATGATAGTTGGCCCAGATAGCGTATAACGAAAGTGTTTCACATGTTAAGACTGACCACTTCAATTACTTATGCTTAGTGAATGTGGGGTGTTTCAAAGGAATGCCCAAATCTCTGCCAGTGCTCTAATGATGCACAGCCCCCTCGCATATCAAGTGTCAAGAGAATTAATTCAAATATTTAAAAGTGTACTTAAAACCCTGTCTTTGAATCATTTTAGATTATTACCTTACCGAACAAAGATAGAATGTTTTCTAACCGGAATTTAAATTAAAGTATGGTATATTTTCCTTGAATCAACTTCCTCTGACCACCGTCGGTTTATTTCTCTTGAGAAAGAAGATAAACTGATACTTTTTTTTTTTTTTTTACTTTTATATTGTCTTGGATACTTTTTTTTT